TATTGAATGGAAATAAAGATTTAGAAGAAATAGTCAACATCACTGACCTTGGTGTAGTAACAGTACTCCGATCTCAGTTTTGAGTAATGTTTTCATTCTTTTATGGAATCCATTGAATGTAATGATAAGGGAGTGATCCCTGGGTTCTCTCTATGGCCATAGAGGATTTTGTCCTAGATTTTTGAGGACTGACATCTTTGAGCCTGCACCTTTTCTTCCTCATAGTTGGGGAGTGAAGGGAAGAACATATTCTGTCTCACCTACATGAAGTTCTTGCAGCCCTGTTTGTACCTTCCTACATGGAAGCCTCCAATTCCGCAGGCGTAATTGGCAGACAGAAGGAGGCTAATTGATTAATGAGTCACTTTTGGGCAAAATATGTTTGTCTGTATAGTTCATAGGACTAGCAGCTCAAACAAAGAAGCTAGCAGGCCCAGTGATGGGATATTAGAGAGGATTGACACAGAAATGGTTTTAACCATAATGCAGATATAGAGATTAAACTACAGTGAAAGCTACAACACTTTAGGAGTTTACTTCTTGAGAATAATTCCTCTAGTATTTGAACCAGTTTGGTGCCCTCTGAAGCTCCTTTCCCACTCACTGGCTGGGCCAAAGATTTGAACAAAGACCCTCATCCTCTACCTCATCTATGCTCACTGTTGTCTTAGGGGAACTCCCAGCCTCTACCTCTGGCTCTGTCTTTCCTGTTCTTCTGATTCTATTGTTACGCTGCACCCATTTCCTTGAACTTGATGGTACAGACTTGCCCTCATTCCCACCCTACTTGATCCATGGATTCAGGCACCAGTTTCCCCTTTACCTGATCCCTGAAACCTAAGACCAGTCCTGCTCTCCACACTCTCCCGCTCCACTGCCTCACAGAAAGCAAACTCCAGGAACCAGTCCAAGCCAAGAGTTTCCCTCTAAGCTCTAACTTGCAAACTCTGTTTGTCTGAGAAGCCAGCCTTGGCAGCCAACATACTTACAGACTCATAACAACAAGTAGGAAATCTAGGAAAAGCAATATAAACTTTACTGGAATTTGAAAACATCTGAGCCATTAAAACTACAGTGCCTTACCACATACTTTTGATTTAGTAGAATGTTTTTTGCTATTTATCCATTCATTTATCTATGTCTTCATTCCTCTGAGCTTTGGAATACTCAATCCAAGTAGCTTTTAGTTGGAGATCTGTAATTTTCACATTAAACGAGGAATTCTTCAGCAAAAATTAATAATAGATGCTATTCTCAAGTGGCGCACTAGGTGGAGCATGTGAATTTAAAGGAAATTAAGATCTATAGTTACTAATGACACAAATCACTTAATAAAATTGAAAAAAATTAAACCAAATTTATTTTTATTAATTTCAACTAAAAATAGAGAAATATAAAACAATGTAACACTTTTTATAAGCTTATGTAAAGTCTAGGGTAATGTTTTTAAAGGAGATAAAAATTGAAATAAATAATGCTTTTTCTCTACAATAGACCTTCCAGACCCCATAGCCAGAGGAGGAAAGTTAAGCAGGCAGCAGTTTCCAAATAACACTAGCTGGGGAAAGCAGAAATAGTGTTACACATACATATATTTTTTTTTCTGGTTGAGAGAATGAAGTGGTCTTTATCAGAGAAGAGAAGTCTTGCATCTACATCCACTTCTAGATTGCCTATTTCACTTTTAGGAGCAAGTATTTCTAAAGAATGTGATCGTCTGTAAGGAAGGAAAGTGGCAGTTAAAATTTTTTAAAAGTTGTTTTTTGTTAATACAATATTATTAAAGAAGTTTTTTTATAGGAGTCAAGCTCAGATTTATAGACAACATCTGCATGATTCTTGGAAGTTATATCTATGAGACAGATTGGCATAGCATACAGTCTGCTTCAAGCTCAGAAGATAGCAATTTTGATCCTAGTGATATTGCATTGTGTATATTCACACTGCAAACTAAAACTTTCTACTAGACTGCATCTGTTTTTGAGATTGCAAGTAAGGTTTTGTCCATGCTTCCATTTTTAGTTGGCTATAAAAATGTCATCCAATGGGAAGGTTGGTACTCCTGAAGGAGCTCAGGCTGCCATTAAGTCCAGGTCAGGAGTTACTGAAGGAAAAAAAAACCCTGGAAAACTCACCACTGGTTCAATGGTATTTTGAATTCTGACTTCCTTCCCCAATCTGCCTGTTACAATTTACTTCTCAGAGTCTTAAGATAGCTACTCCATGCATTCCATCCAGGGTATTTGGTTGTCTTCAGTGAGGAGACAAGAGTGGAGAGTGCTTACTCCATCTTGACCAGAATCAGATCTGAGGTAATTTTTTAATTATTGATTTTCTTTTCTTTTTCTTTTCTTTTCTTTTTTTTTTTTTTTTTTTTTTTTTTGAGACGAAGTCTCGCTCTGTCGCCCAGGCTGGAGTGCAGTGGCACGATCTTGGCTCACTGCAAGCTCCGCCTCCCGGGTTCACGCCATTCTCCTGCCTCAGCCTCCTGAGTAGCTGGGACTACAGGCACCTGCCACCACGCCCAGCTAATTTTTTGTATTTTTTAGTAGAGACGGGTTTTCGCCGTGTTAGCCAGGATGGTCTCGATCTTCTGACCTTGTGATCTGCCCGCCTCGACCTCCCAAACTGCTGGGATTACAGGTGTGAGCCACTGTGCCTGGCCTAAATATTGATTTTCTTTGTCAAATGATGTGCAGAATAAACTCTGACTTAGCTTATGTTATGCAATTATGAGATGTAAATGTAGGAAGGTGACAAACTAGCTGAATTTAATATGGTAATTTAATTATTTCATGAAAATGTGGTATAATTTTTTTTTTTTTTTTTTGAGACGGAGTCTTGCTCTGTCGCCAGGCTGGCATGCAGTGGCTTGATCTTGGCTCACTGAAACATCCATCTCCCAGGTTCAAGCAATTCTCCTGCCTCAGCCTCCTGAGTAGCTGGGGCTACAGGCACAAGCCACCATGCCCAGCTAATTTTTGTACTTTTAGTAGAGACGGGGTTTCACCATGTTGGCCAGGATGGTCTCAATCTCTTGACTTTGCGATCCGCCCACCTAGGCCTCCCAAAGTGCTGGGATTACAGGCGTGAACTACCACGCCCGGCCAATATTTTGTTTTTTGAGTAACTTCAAGCAAAATTATTATTAGGTTTTATGTGAAGGGGATTTTCATCAGAAATATGTATCCTCCTGCTGTTTTATTTAACAAAATGGCTAGCTAGAGGCAGGCAGCAGCTCTGAGTTTTAGTAAAAATCTGTATTACAAACCAATTTGATTTTTCTTTGCCATCAACAATATGTAAAGACACAGATAAATAATTATGTTTAATAATTTTAAAATGCTTAGGTTATAAACTTGATTTGATTAAATAAAAATTAAGCTTCATTCTACTTTGGACCTTTATATGAATTAGCAGCAAAACTGGTTCTAGGACTGGAGATGACTAATAGCATGCGTCAAATATCCCTTTTCAAATTTATCAGTGATGGAGATTGAAAAGTAAGATTTAATGTAATAGGCTAGAAAGAGAGAAATCAATTTTATCTGGCCATTTCTATTTCATTATAAACTCAAGACTCAATATGAAGAGCTGATAAGTTTGCTTCTTCCTCTTTGCCTACTTCTGTGAAATGCATACCAAAGGGTGGGAGTGCATCAAGATTCCATGACTTCTAGCTGGTACTTACCATAAAACTTTCAGTCAACACCAGCTTCTAGGATCTAGCTGGATGGTGGGTGATATCCTCATAAGCTGTGATGATGATGGGCATAAAAGTGACAGAGAAGAACTAAGAAGTTATGCTTCTGGGCTAATGAATTTACAGTATGTAGGAGGACAGTTTATGTATGATTTTGTTTAGTCAGTGATATTTGGAGTAATGTGTGTAGTTATGCAAATTGATTCCAAATTTTAACAAGGATGTAAGAATAATAATTAGCACATGTTTTCAACTTTATTGCATTTTTATATCCATGACTATATGTGCTTTCATAGCTACCTGGGAGATAGATCAGTCATGAGTAATTCTATTTACAGATGAAGAAAACTGATATACTGGCTGTTAAGGGATTTGCTGAGTGTCTCATACCACAATGCTCGCAACTCTGAAACTAGAGTCCAGAGCTCTTCTAGCCAACGTGATCCCCCCCATAGGACTGAGTAAATAAATAGGTACATATTCATAAAGCATAATACTACCCAGTGATTAAAGTGACTGAACTAGGTAGGTAGGTCAGTGGGTAAGGTAGACAGGTAGATAGACAGATAAATAGACTTTACAAATTATCATGTTTAATGAAAAAAGTAAGCTTATATTATAAAACCTAAGTATGATACCATTTTTATAACTAAACATACAGAACCTGTATATTGCTGATGGGTACGTATATGCCTCTGACTAATATTTGAAAATAGACTGGAAGGAAACCCATCAGATGGTGGTCACCTCATGAGAGAGGAGTGGGATGGGACAAGGGTCACAAAGGGATTTCAAATAAATAAGAAAAATCATAAACAATGATCAATTATTTGTTGTTTACCATATTAATCTCTAGAAGTGTTATGTAGGTTAAAAACTATCACAAAAGTTGGGGGTGGTACTGGTAGATAGAGCAAGGGGACCTCAAGGAAAGTAAGGCATTTAAGGCTGTACCCCAGTGAGAACCATGTGCCTGACACTGAGCAGAAATCAGAGGTGTTTATTCTGTAAGTGCTGTCTTTGGCGTTTAAGAAAAGCAAATACGTGTATTAGGTGAGCCCATTTGGTAACACTCCTCACTCTGGCAGAAAGTAGACCTGAACTATGGAGATCACTTTATCCCAACAGTTCTACAGTGGCAGGAGAAGCTTGGGGACCTGGACCGGACTTCCTGTCCCTGTCGCTGACGTCTCTGAACATATCATGTGATAAGATTGTGAATGAGCCATCCTTGCTGCCCACTTTCTGCTATATTATTTGCTGTCTTAATGCTTAAACTCTCTTGATAAATTTCTAGGCATGAGAGGATGCATACCAGAAGACCTTACCATGTGGAAGATGCTGAAAAATACTGCCTTGAGGATGATTTGGTCAACCTAGAGGTGCTGGATGAGGTACTAAATATTTAGTAGACAATTCTCATTGAAGACATTTGTTTCATGTGGTCTGACCTTTCTGTTGTAGAGCATGTCCTCCTCAGGTCATTTGAAAATGTAATGGTTTGTGTAGCCATGGGATGAAGCTCAGGGAGCATTCAGTCACTGTGACTATGATCCTGTGCTGTGTTTATTTAGATAGCCCCTAGAATCATGAAGAGAAAAGGATTTGGATTTTTCCAATAAAGCTCTTTATAGTGTAGCGTTAATGGTGGTTTATATCAGCTGAAAATATTTTGTTTGATAAAATTTGATAAAATATTTCAATTAACCCTTAAGTTGTTTGTTCTTCATAAGAAAGAGCTTCATTTAGGGAAATCATGAAGTTAATATAGCTTGAATTCTAAATTTGAAGTCTCTGATAATCCCTACTTAAAATATGCATGTTTAATAGTGCTGTTAATTGCACTGGACCTGTTTATGCTGAGTCTAACTCTGGGGATTCTTACTTTCAATGTCTAAATCACTACAGTGTAATAAAAAGTGTTTAATTCTGTATTTATGCCACCTAGGTTTTTAGTGCAGTGCTTTGAGAAATTAACTTACCATTTTGTCTGTGCTCTATCAGTAGGAACAGCCCATTAAATAAAATTTTAAATACAACATTTTGACTGGTTGAGATGAGTTCTTTTCACAATAACAGTAAAATCTTTCTTGGATATCTCAGTGTCTTTTAGCAAGTCCTAAGTAGGCCTAATTCTTTCAATGTATTCCTATTTTTTCTTTCAAGGCAAATATTGGCATTGTTTTAATGAATTAGGATCGTTAGGGTCATTGTATGATTTAAATGAACTACTTTCATCTTTTAAAGAAAGATGTTCTTGGAAGAATAAATTTGTTATCATTTTTAGAATCTATCCCTTGATTGGAAATAATATTTACTCTCAATACCATTTATCCTCTTCTTAGGATACAATTATCCATCAGTTGCAGAAACGTTATGCAGACTTGCTAATTTACACATATGTTGGAGACATCTTAATTGCCTTAAACCCCTTCCAGAATCTAAGCATATACTCTCCACAGGTAAGAGATGTTTTAAGAGCATACTGCTCCTTAATAGGAAATTAAAACTCACAAGGGCAAACGAAAAGAAATAAAAAGTAAGAATAAAATTGTGCTACCCTAGATGTATATACTCCAAACTGCAGATAGTAATGTAATACAAATGGAATTTTTACATCTTGAGGATACCTTTTTAAAGCAAACTATAACAATAATAGTTAACCTTTATTGAGTGCTTACTCCATGTTGGACACTGGGTTACCTCACTTTTCGCACCCTGTGGGACAAGTACTGTTGTTAAACCTAGTTGGCAGATGAGGAGACTTAGCATAGAGTGGCTCCCTCTTACTAGCTCACGAAGTCAGTAAGTACAGAAGTGAAATTTGAACTCAGGCCTGCAGGCTCCAGAACCTGTACCCTACAGTCTTCCTAATGCAACAAGTCCCCTAATAAGTGACGGAGTCTTGGTTTCATGGGCAATAGGTAGTGGAGTATTAGATGGTCCAGGGGAGAGTTTCCTTTAATTATTTTTCCTTCAGTTTTCCAGACTTTATCATGGGGTGAAACGTGCCTCTAATCCCCCCCACATATTTGCATCAGCAGATGCTGCTTACCAGTGCATGGTTACTCTCAGCAAAGACCAGGTAAGAACTCACCTTCCTTTCCTACGGAGTCACACAGTTAAGACATGTTCTGTCTTCCTCGTTAGCTCCTAAGTCTTCCTGAAACCTTTCCATTCTGGTTGCTGGTGCCGACCCAAAGAGACAGGAGATGAAATGGCAGCTCTGTGGAACTTGTGCATAGATAAAGCCATAGCATCAGGAGAATGTGAAAATGCTTTTCAAGAAACATAAAGCATTCACATCAAGAGCACTCATTTTCTCTGATAAGATGTAATAAAAATGTTTCTAATATTAATATGATGAGAACAGTGCAAACACAACCTGATTACATGGCAATGATTATAATAAAAATAGCATATAGAATGGCATAAGTGAAATTCTTTCCTATTAAGGTCTTAGAATTTTCATGATTCTTGTTTTTTTGTATGAAATATTGCACAGAGGTTGACAGCGACCATGCACCACACCATTTAGCTGCTGAAAAATTGTGATAGATTGGGTAGAGAATGAACAAACCTAAACTCAATGCTAAACACAGGCTCATCCATTTTACCTTTCTAGCCTTCTAATTCACAATGCTGATATATCTAACCTTTCATCCCTCCTTTACTTTGAATAGATATATTTTTCTTTGTTTCTTTATTCTGTTTGAAATAGAAGTAGTCTAATTTGGCAAGCAAATTTTCTGAGAGTATCACTGTGTGGATTTCCTAAGACCTGGGAAGTCCCAGCTTTGGGGTTTGTTGAGTAATAGATGACATTATAAGAGTGTAGATTACAAAACGGAATACATGGATTCACTGTAGCTTAGAAACTTAGCTCCTCCAAATTCTTGTTGTTCCATTGTACAGATGTACCATAATCTATTTAATGAGTCCAAGATTTACAAGTCCCAGAGACTTGTAAAATGTCCATAGATTTCACAGGGAGGAAGTAAATGGAGAGAAATATATATTGTTTTTAAGTTAAGAAGTCACTTCACTGCGTTATCTTTTTTGACACCATTTCTGACACCAAATGTTGTATTTTTTCCAACACCAACCAATTCTCCAAGCCCAGCTGGGTGCCCGACAATTCAGTTCAATTCTGACACTACCTGGAGTTAGCACAGACTCCACAGATTAAGTGATTAGTGCTACAAGAAGGTTCCCACTTGAGATGCCAGCTGCAAATGGGGTACCTAGGCTTCTCACACTTCTGCCTGGCCAAATACCAGTCCAGGGGTTCTTGTGACTCTCTTTAGGTTTGATGATTCACTAGGAATGACTCAAGGAACTAAGGAAAACACTTTACTTACATTTACCAGTTTATTATAAAGGGTATAACTAAGGAACAGCCAAATAAAAGAGACATATGGGGCAGGGTATATGGGGGGAGGAAGGGGACGTGGCACACAGAGCTTCCATGCCTTTTCTGGGCACATCCCCCTCCCAGCACCTCGATGTGTTCACCAACTCAGAAGCTCTCTGGATCTCGTTCAAGAATTTGTATAACTTAATCTTAAATTCCCCTCTTCTTTCTAGAAGTTGGGAGGTAGGGCTGAAAGTTCCCACACTCTAATCACATGTTTGGTCTTTCTAATGACCGGTCTGAAGCTATCTAGGGGCCTCACCTTGAACCACCTTGTTAGGAATAAACTGAGGTATGGTTGAAAGGGGCTCCTTGTGAATAACAAAAGATACTCCTACCACTGCTGGAAATTCCAAAGGTTTTAGGAGCTCAGTGCCAGGAACCAGGGACAATGCCCAATATCTAATTTTTATTATACCACATCCACTAATTTCCTTTATACATAAAGAGTTCCCTGAAATGAATGATAAAAATATCAACAATACAATAAAATATGGGCAAACAATATGGACAGGTCACGTAAAAAAAAGCCTCTTAAGCAAATGGAAGGAGGCCTCATTCATAATTTTTTAAATGCAGAATAAAGCCACACTGAGATACCATTTTTTAAACCTATTAGATTGTCAAAAATCTAACATCCTGTTGGTGAGGCTACAGGAGAGCAGGCACTTTCATATATTGGAATAGTCCCTAGGAAAGCAATTTGGTAATATGTATCAAATTTACAAATGTATTTACCTTTTGATCTAACATCCCCATTTCTAGGAATTTCTCCTGCAGATGAACCTGCATAAAAATATTCTTATGTATAAGGTTATTCATTGTAATATTGTTTATAATTACAAGGAAAAAACTCAAATATCCCAATATGGACTGATTAAACAGATTATGGTACATCTGTACAATGGAACAACAAGTAGCTATACAAAAGGTTGAAGAAGGTCTCTTAAATAGGAAGATTCCTAAGATCTATTTCTCAGTGAAAAATTAAGGTGTACAGTAGCGGATGTTGTATGAAGCACGCAAGTTGCTTCTGTGCTATAAATTCTTCACTTGACGGTCCATTTCCTGTGCCAGTGCATTGTCATCAGTGGAGAGAGTGGCTCTGGGAAGACAGAAAGTGCTCACCTGATTGTTCAGCATTTGACTTTCTTGGGAAAGGTATGGACTAATCTGCTTTACGTATTGTGGTGAGAAGTTCCTACAGAGTAACTGCGTATTTTATAAATGATGGAAGTACTGTTTTGTTTGTTTTTTATTGAGGCTTACATAAAGACATTCCATCTTTGTTATGTTTGCCTCCTGATAGCAAGGCCTCTTAAGATGTCAGCATGCTATCCTTCTTTCACACCGGGAGGAGAATGATGCCAGCGCAAATTTACTAGATTATTGGCAATTAATTTTCATGTTTTCAATGTAATAGAAACATTCAGCCATTAAGTAGTAAGAGTGGTTAAGCACTAGGAACAGGATCAGGGAAGCCACTATAGTGATTAAAAGGATGGAAAATAGAAGCTTTTGAGCAAAAGTTGAGGGAAATGAAAATTTTCAGCTTGGTGAAATCGATATTGAAAGAATGACTTCAAAAATAGGCTAGTAGTTACACTCTGAATTAGTGTACTAGGTGACTAAGAATGTATAGAATTTTTATACATAAGGTTTATAGACTATTATGATAAATGCCAGAAAAGTTGCGGGATCCATTTAAAAATCTTTCTAAACTGGTTAGGCGTTTTATCTGTCAAGGGTTTTAAATGAAATATGGCTGGATTTTAAAAACTGCTGTCCTAATCTAGCCAAATCTGATTCATATGCAGATCTGGGGAGTTGCTCACATGAGAAAATGATGCTGGTGGTTGATGCTAACGTCTCTTTGTAAAAGGGCAATGTGGATTTGGGTGGGCAAGGGATGGGTGCCCGGCAACTTTGCTGGAGTAATGTTTCTGGAGTCTCTTCTTGACTGTTCTCTGTTTGGCACAGGCCAATAATCAGACCTTGAGAGAGAAAATTCTACAAGTCAACTCCCTAGTGGAAGCCTTTGGGAACGCATGCACTGCCATCAATGACAACTCCAGCCGTTTTGGAAAATATCTGGAAATGATGTTCACACCAACTGGAGTTGTGATGGGGGCAAGAATCTCTGAATATCTCCTTGAAAAATCCAGAGTGATAAAACAGGCAGCGTAGGTGCACTACTTTGTCACTGTGTTTTTGCCCTGCAGTAAAAACCAGGGCGGGGGGAGAGCTTTGGGAATTTTAACAGTTAAGTTTTCATCCTTGTTCTTAACATTCCCCTACCCTCCCAAGGGCAAAGAATGATTTAAGCAAAGGATCAGTGGTAGATTTTAACCTAAAAGAAATTAATGGAAAGAGTACAAAGGGCTGGGGTGGGTGTGCTTTGGGGATGGGTATGCTTGTTTCTCCTGAGTTGGTTGTGTCAGGTAGAATTTAGCAGCATTGCAGACATTTTTTAAGACCCTGAGACCCCTGCAAATTGAACTTGTTTGTTTAAAAAAAAAAAAAAGACACCAAGAATATTTCACACGTTAATTTTGTCCTTAGATTGAGGCAGAGAAAACAATTATTCTGTTTTTAAGGAAAGCATTTGGTAATAGAAATCAATAGCACAGACTTTGATCTGGGTTCAAATGCAGGTTCTGATACTCACTGTGTGACTTTGGGCATTTCACTGACCACCTCTGTGCCTCATCTGTGAAATGGAAATGCTACTAGTGCTGACCTCATGGGTTTGTTGTGAGGATTAGCATGTTCATTTATATAAAATTACTTAAAAGAATGCCTAGTGTGGTACATCCTATCAGAGTATTAGCTACTCTTCCTATTATACTAATATAACCACTAGTGTGGTACATGCTATCAGAGTGTTAGCTACTCTTCCTATTATAATAATAACTCTTCCTGGGGAACATCACACACTGAGGCGTATCGTGGGGTGGGGGGTCAGGGATCGGGGGAGGGATAGCATTAGGAGATATACCTAATGTAAATGACGAGTTAATGAGTGTAGCACACCCACATGGCACATGTATACATATGTAACAAACCTGCATGTTGTGCACATGTACCCTAGAACATAAAGTATAGTAAAAAATAATATCTTCCTATAATAATAATAGCTATTATAATTATTAATATTAGTAGCTATTATTATTATTGTCGGACACCAGAGCTTCTCAGGAGCATGGTTCCGCACTTCCATATTAATGCATTATTGAATCCCTGCTGTTTGCCAGTGCTGTGCTTTGTGTTGGCTTGTAAGAGTAAACTAAATACAAAAGATTCTTGTATTCACGGGGCTTGGAGTATGCGGTATACAAGGAAGGAGTAGGGGAGAATCACAGGCATTAAACAAGTAAACTGAAATGTAGAACAATGGTAATAAGCACCAGAAAGCAAAGTAGGTGCTATTAAGGTGAAACGAGAGGTGGGAAGGACACATAACCTAGTCTAGGGAGAAAGAAGGTCTACCTGTATGTGAGATGACAGGATCACTAGGAGTTAGGCAACAAGGTGGGGACCAGAGTAAGGAGGAAAAGTGGCAAAGATAAGACTGAGACCAAATCATGCAGAGCTTTGGAACCAGGATGAGGATTTCAAACTTTTTTCTAAGGGTGATAGGAAGCCACTGAACGTTTTCAAGCAGGGGAGTCACCAAACCCAACTTGCATTTTGAAATGATCACACTAGCTTCAATGGGGAATGGATTGGAGGAGATGCAAGGATTGTGTTGATATGATTAGGAGGCTGTTGCCAAATTCATGTGAGGGAGAACGCTGGCCTAGACTAAGGTGGTGGCAGTGGAGATGGAGAGAAGTTGAGGAGTCTGAAAGATACTGTGCAAGTAGAATTTACAGGAATTGTTCTGGGCTGAGAACCCAAGCATCTTCCTCTATCACGTACTTGCAGTTTCCTCACACAGTAGGGACTGGCATGAACATTAAACAAATGAAAGATAGAGTCAGAGTCATTTACGCTTCCCTGTGGCTTTTTGATTAATTTTTATGAGGTCCCCTGCTTCTGTCTCCCCAGCTTAGGATCGTTTTAAAATTTAGGGAGCTACCTCTGACAGAATGGAAAGCATAGTGTTCTGTGTTCAAATGTAAAGTGGTCTTTTACCAAGATAGTGTGAGGAGAGTTCTCGGTCACTTAATGTGATATGTTGCTTGTTAATGTAAATATTCATATACCTTACTTTCCTCATATGCAACATGGGCATAATAATGTCAACCTCACAAGGCTCTTAGAAGAATTAAGTGAGATGAAGAGAAGATGGGGCCTGTGCCAGTCCTGGTCATCCAACTGTTGGGGTTCACCCCCTTCTGGGCACACTGTAGGGTTCCTGTGTGGCTGGGTGTGGTCACATAACTGGTTCTGGCAAGTGGGCATGTAACGGCAACCCTCCAGAGTCTGGCAAAGTGTAAGACGGGGACTTCTCTGCCAGCCACAGCTCATGAGTGACTGCAGTGAGCACAGCCCCACCGCTGACCTGCCATGGACAGGTACTCTGAGCAAGAACTAAACCTGTGTTGAGTTAATCTACTAAGATCTTGGGGTGTTTATTACTATAACAAAACCTAGCCAATCTTGACAGATAAATGGATGGAAATCAAACTGAATTGATGCTAGCGATGGATGTCAGCAGGAAAAGCTTGGAAGAACTGAGAACTAGATGGTTCTGTAGAAAAACTGTAGGAAGGTAAGACTGAGATAGGTCAGCCAAAGCCTGCACATATAACAGAGGTTAAAGAACAAGTGACATTCATCTCAGGCCTTTCGGTTCCTGTCTCAGTGAAGGGTGCCACCATCACTAGATGCTCATGCTAGAAATCTAGGAGGCAGTCTCTAGGTTTCTTTCCCTCACCATCCTCATTCAGTCTATTAGGATGTTCTTTTGGTTGTTTCTCCAGAATATATATAATATTTAAGCTTACTCTTATTTTCCATCACCACTACCATTACCCTATCTGAGCTATTATGCATTCTCACCGGGACCCCCTGACTGGTTTCCCTGTAGCGATCTTGGCTTCTTATAATGACACTCAGGGAACATGAATCCCTTTAGTCCTGTATCCCTGGCACCTGGCGCAGTGCCTACCATGACTGGCAATTAAGATGTTTATTCATTGAATAGTCATATTTTTCTATTTATATGTATATCCTATAACATCTTGTTGTACATCTTAAATATACACAATAAAATTTATTTTAAAAAAATAAAAATAGGGGCTGGGCACAGTGGCTCATGTCTGTAATCCCAGCACTTTGGGAGGCCAAGGCAGCCTGGGCAACATAGTGAGACTCTGTCTCTACAAACACAAAAACATAAGCGGGGGATGGTGGTGTGTGCCTATAGTCATGGCTACTTGGGAGGCTGAGGTGCAAGAATTGCTTGAGCTCAGAAATTTGAGGCTGCAGTGAGCTATGATCACACCACTGCACTCCAGCCTGGACAACAGAGTGAGACCCTGTCTCTTAACTAAATTTATTGGTTAAGTGAACAAGTGAGTGAGAAATGGCAAGTAGAGGCATCTAGAATACAGGGCAGGGATAAAGAATGTCACAGAAGAGCTTTGACAGGATAAACAATCAAAGGAAGATGAGGATACCCAGGAGAGGCTGAATAGAATGAGGGCCATGCCACAAAGGAGGATAAGGGGAGAAGAAAGACAAGATTTCTTTCCATGGAGCTAGGTTGACCAAAGAAAAGATTTGCCAAAATCCAAGGGTATCTGCAGAAGAGACTGTCCTCCTCCAGAGGAAAGAAGGGGATGTGGAGCAGTGCTTTTCAAACTCTCTGTGCTAAAGGACCAGTTTTTTTTTTTTTTTTTAAATATCCAACCCATTTTGAACTAATACCTTTGTAAAACGCAATAAAAATTAATTATCAGAAAAATTATCATGCTCTTGGATGTCATGGCAATGTCACTTGCTATAAAATGTCTAGGCATGTACTTTCCAGTTCCTTCTCTTGTTATAAACTGACAGTTATCCACAGACTATGCTCAGAGCTGACAGCAGTCCACAGACTATGCTCAGAGTAGCACCTATCTGAAAGGACCCTGGCCAGGGTAGCCTAAAAGAGGTGGATGGCAGGAGACCAGACTAATGAATGACATTTTGAGTAGTATTTTTACGAATACCAGCTTGGGAGAGTGAAGACCTCAGTTCTGGACCAATCCTGCTCCCTAAGCTGCTGTGAGACTTGCAGGCCACTTCCTGTCTAGGGCTCCAGTAAAGTAGAGGATTTGGCTGATGTCTCTAAGCTGGACCTCACCGTCTCTGAAGCAACATGTGGTATAAACAGAAGGCAGTAGGCATTTGGGCTGCAATAGAAAGATTTCAACATATGCAACCTGAGCTGTTTCCTGTAAATGTCCCATTCTCTGAAACCTTTTGCTTATAGGAAAGTGTGTTTAATAATGCAACATTATGACAATTACTATACTAATCCTATCACTGTTCTGTAAGTGGGATTTATAATATTTAATTGCCTGAAAATACAAATTTGCCATGGGATAATTTTTTGCACAGAAAGAAAATGGTGTAAAATACTTGGGATGGGGAAGCCAGAATACATTATTACTAAAGTCTCTTTTGTTTTCAGGGGAGAGAAAAATTTTCACATATTTTACTATATTTATGCTGGTCTTCATCACCAAAAGAAGCTTTCTGACTTCAGACTTCCTGAGGAAAAACCTCCTAGGTAAGTGTCAGGGGGGTTGGTTGTTAATTTTTGATGAATGTCCAATTAGCAGTTAACAAACTTGGAAGTAAATGGAGCCGTTTTCCTAACTGGAAACCCAGTGTATTTAACTAAAGTGCCCAGGATGAGGTGGCAGGAACTATCTCACCATTTTCATTGTCTAGAAAGTTCAAAAACTCAACTGCACATGGTTTATTTTTTCTCAGCCATTTGCATCATTTGGCAAGCTGAAGTGAGAGGATCACTTGAAGCCTAGAGTTTGAGACCAGCCAGGGCAACATAGCGAGACCCTGTCTCACTACGTTTTTTTTTTTTTTTTTTTTAAAGTAGCTACTCAGGAGGCTGAGGTGGGAGGACTGCTTGAGCCTGGGAGGTCGAGGCTGCAGTGAGCTATGATCACACCAGTGTACTTCAGGCTGGGCAACAGAGTGAGATCCTATCTTTAAACAAACAACAGAAAAAAATGGAAATGCCTGCACCACTTTCCAAGTCAATGCTCATTCTGTTTGGTCATGCTGCCCTTCATTTAGGTACATAGCTGATGAAACTGGAAAGGTGATGCACGACATAACTTCCAAGGAGTCTTACAGAAGACAATTCGAAGCAATTCAGCATTGCTTCAGGATTATAGGGTTCACGAACAAAGTAAGTGATCAAGAGAGAAACTCAAGTGGCAATATTCTTATATGAATGTGAGTAAAGATGTGGATATTTCTCACTTGGGACAGGACACTTGCTTTCAAATGCCATGTTGGTCGTGTTATAAGGTCTTGCTACTCAAAGTGCGGTCCCAGGACCAGATACATTGTTATCACCTGAGAGCTTCTTAGAAATGCAGACCCTGAGGTCTATCCAGGGATGACTGAATCAGAATGTAACCATTTTAACAAGAAGCCCAGAGGAACATCAAACTAGGAGAGCACTGTTGTGAGGACCATGTGTTGATAAATTGTTATCATTGTCATCAATTCATTACACATGTAATAATAAACACCAAAACAATACTGTGGTTTGTTTTTGTTTTTGTTTTCTGATTTAGGGTTGTTCCAGCCATTAAAGTGAATGGGGGATAGGAGTACAGGAATATATAGATTATATCCAAGTCACAGAAATATATTTATGCAAGTAGCTCCTTAGGTAACAAGACAAATTAATTAAAATCCTTTCAACTTTCTTGCAGTTACTTCCTTCTCCATGGTACACAGTTGCACATTATTAACTATAGCTCTAAGTACTGTACTCCTTTTTTTTTTTTTTTTTTTTTTTTTTTTTAGAATGTTGCTCTGTCGCCCAGGCTGGAATACAGTGGTGGGATCTCAGCTCACTGCAACCTCTGCCTCCTGGGTTCAAGTGATTCTCCTGCTTCAGCCTCCTGAGTAGCTGGGATTACAGGTGCGTGCCACCACACCCGGCTAATTTTTGTATTTTTAGTAGAGACAGGGTTTCACCATGTTGGCCAAGCTGGTCTTGAACTCCTGACCTCAAGTGATTCTCCCGCCTCAGCCTCTCAAAGTGCTGGGATTACAGGCATGAGCCACCATGCCTGGCCAATGCTGTACTACTCTTATCATCCTAGATACATCCTAGATACAGGCTGTTTGTATTAAATATATGCTAGGGGTGACAGACAATATTTATTACCCTGGGCTCAAATATTATCCTGTGATACATTATGTCATAGTTTCTGGGCTTCATGCCATCAATTTTGCAAAATATATAGATTCTTTTGCTTTTCCAACAAAGGGGGTGAATGATTAGGAAGTAGGTGAGAGTGTTAAATCTTAAGGGATTAGATTAAAAGACACTCCAGTTACCCTGGGATGGCCACTCCAGATAAAGGATTACTTCTGTGTAATGCAGTGTGATGGCTAGCCCTTCCCTCCCCTGCATGGTTGATTTTAGTCATAATAGCACCTTTTTTTTTCTGTCTAGCCAGCTGTTAATTTTCTCTGTCAGCCTCCCACAGACCTTAAACTGACAGACAGTGGAAAATCCCAAAGGTCAGATAAAAATATAAATATATCTTCCTTGGCTCCTTAGAGGGGAGCAATTAAACAGGTTCTAGCATTGTTAAAGGACCTTTGTGGTTATTAACTTATAGAACAGGCTTTTTTTAAATCAAAGATGCACCCCCAGAAGAGTTAAAGCATGGTAGGAATGACAGTGGAGCAATTTAAAGTCACCTGTGTCATGCCAAAGTATGCAGGGTCACATGTCCTTAAAAGGGTACAGGAACCATAGAGAAGTCAAGGTTAATAATCATTAATAGAGTTAATGTTTTGTTTTGAGTACAAATATAGAATACTGTGAAGAGATTGATCCTAGCTGAACCCATTTATGCCTAGTGTTCCATTATTGGAACGCTAACCATGTGGGAGTTATTTATACCCTACTGTTCAAGGTCATCACCAAGGTCTGATTGCAAAAATTCAAAAAATTGCAACCTCAGGCTTAGGTGGGTTAAAAGAAAGTATATAATGGTGCTGTTCTAATAACAGCAATGTACTGATAATAATAATAAAACAGATGCTATCTGTTTCAGGATAAACAACATTGAAAACTGTTAAAATCTGTTTTAGTACAACAACACTAAAGCATTAAAAACAGAAGAAATTTAGTATGTTAAGTATATATCCTTGAAGTAAGCCATCCCTAGCCTCTCTGGGAAAAAAAGGTGCAATAGAAATAAATGAATGACTATATGAATAAACATGAAAAGAAAAACATGTAAAAGATGGTGAGCATTTTTAATTTGTGCTTGATCTGTACTGTTAAAAGAATAACCAGAATGTAATGGTGTCATGTGTGTATATTTTCACCATGTCCCACATTAATTCATACAGGAAATAAACCAATTTATATCAGCTGCAACCTTAGAAATGAAAGGAAGAAGCTGGATCTTATCTCTCTGACTCTGAATTCTGTAGTTCTATCTCTGCAGACAACCTGTTTTGCTGAGTTAACTCAGTTCACTTTATGTTTATAAATTCAAAGTAGTGTGACTAAATTCAGAAAGATCCAGCTGAATGTAGTCAGGAAACAGATGCCAAATGCTGATGTAACAGAACTTTCTCTTAGGTTTTTCTGGCAGACATTTCTAGATAAAGCTTAAATGAACTGGTCAATTCAATCAAAATTATGGTTCTTCTCCTTTCTTATAATGTCACTAGTTCCCTGCAGGAATCCCTTAATTTTTTCTCAAACCCTAAAAGCAAAATTATGAGTAGCAAACCTTCGTGTGGAGTCAGGAGCATGAATTTTAATTCTGGGACACCAGCCAAAGTATCTGAAAGAACACTTGACCCTGAGTTTATTGTAAAGAAATTGCCCTGGTGGAGGAGTCTTCCACTAATGATGATGACTCCTCATGGAGGGTTGGGGGATTATCCCTAAGACCTTATTGTGAAGATTGTGCTTTTCAACTCTTATTTCTGGAGCCAAACCATACAACATTATACTTGTCTTGCTGGTAGTAATTAACATATTCAATCAGTAGGGTTTTAGAGATGTTTCTATTTAATGCTACATGAAAACTTTTTGGGCAGATGATCTATGTGATGGTCAAAATTGGACGTACACTATAGATCCCCGTTGGAGAGGTTAGGGAGAAGCCTTTGAGATCGGCGCAAAATTTCTTCCCTTTCTTCAAAATAGATTATGAATTGAGAGAGTACTGCTCTGAAGGATTACATGTGAAAATATGACTTGGGAGTCTTGAGGATTTCTAATGTCTTGATGACAGACAATAGGATACCACTGGCTTTTAAGATGCCAGATGTTGTAGAGCCTCTGCAAAGGAGACCGAGAAGTGTTGGAACAGAGCCTGTAGCGAGGCCCTTCAGCTGGTCCTGATGCAGTGCTTAGGGAAGAATTGGTGAAAAACTGAAGAAACTTACAAAAAAGAAAGAAAGGAAAGGGAGACTGGGAAGGGAAGTAAATTCCTAGGGATATACCAGAGAAACAACTACCGGAGATGCTTATGAGCCAGGCCAAGGGGGATTTCCTTAGAGTAGCACCAGGCTAACAGAGAAAACTAAGTTTCCTCTCAACTTTTCAATTAACCTCAACTCTGTCAAGAGAATATCTACATCAGTAAAAGAAGTGTCTTATGAGAAAAGATAAGAACATATCAGGTATCCTGCAGTGGGGCTTTGATGGAGAAACGCTCTTTCTTCCCCACTTTTGCTGATTGGTAGTGAAACAGTTTATACTCATCAACAATAAATTGAGAAACCCAGTTGGAGGACTTGGTCTTCTTGAGTGAAGCTATTCCACTTTATAATATAGACAGTTGGAAAGTGGTAGAAATGAAAAGAGATAGCAGCATAGCAAGAGTCTGCAGAAAAGGCAGAGATGCCAGGAAAAGCTCTGTAGCTGGAGATGAAGCAAGAGAAAATGGACAAGGTAAAGAAGGTGAAAAAACCTTCCCTGGCTCTCTGTGGGGAGACAATAAGAAAAATTTGATCGAAAAGGTTTAGGACGGGAAGAGTAATCCCACAGGTGGACATACAACTGATTGAATTTTGCCATGAGTGTATATGATGTTTTGACCTGAACGCAGAGGCTCCTAGATCAGAAAGGGAGAACTAATTAACCCAAGGTTAGGACTGATGGAGTCAAGTGGGTGGAATAGCCCAGAAATATAAACTCCTCGATAAGGTGAGCATTGGTTACCCCTCTGTAGTTCTCACTAAATCAAGGAAGGAGACCCAATCGATCATTAATTTCAGTGATTCACACAGTGTTTGAACCTAAATGTTTTTGCTCAGGGTCATAGATAGTTTTTCACTTTAAATGGTTGTCTAGGCACTATGCTGAAGAGGATATTGCCAGAGAAGCAACAGGGCAAGATGCTGGTTTCGAGGGTATAGCCTTTGACAGTCATTTTCTATAGTGATTATCCCAGTGGTGAAATGCCTGGAAGTCTTATTTTGGGAGGTTTCAGAGCTTGTACTGTAATACATGAAGAAAGAGAGAGAAAGAGAGAGTCTTTGTGTGATGCGTGTTTTAATTACAGGAAATACATTTATTTTTTCTAAGAGTACTGAGAGTTTCAGATAACCTCTTGAGATAACTGGGTATAGAAACAGCTGATGTAGAACTCACTGCAAGAGTCTCTGCTTTACCCCCAGGATCTGCCTCTGTGGGAAGTTGCTCAGTGTAGTGAGCAAGCCTCACACTGTATTGATCTAAGTAATGAGGTGCTGTCATGTTAAATCCAAGCAAGTCCCAGAAAACCTATTTAGTAGGTGTTCTCCTTAGCCACTCTTAAGTTGGGTGATTAAACAATGATTCTTAAAGTAAAAAACATGACATATTGCCTTTGATTTAGAAGTTGGAAGAGTAACATTTATCCATTGTAGAAGCCTAGTTTAAAATCTTCATTTGTCTTTGTAGCATTATCAGGTATCCAGCAGATGTCACTATTATAGTCTGTGTTCCTCTTTTTGGCTTTACTGAGTAATGTTTACAGGAAGTTGTAATCTGTGAGGCAATGCTTTATCAGTGGTCTAGTGACCGTTCCTATTCCTTTGCTGCTATGTAGAGTACTAAATCAAGTTACCTGCCTGAGTATTTTTGTGAAAGTACTTTTCTCTAAGCATAAAATGCAAATTTTTCCTATTTTGTTGTTTCACATATAGAAAATGTAAGTTTTTAAATAAGTAAATATACCCTTTAATTTTTTTTTACTATTAATGATACATATGTATTCAACTTTCAATATAAAAATAGAGCTTAGATAATCAGAACTGTTTTTACTCACATTTCTGACACCAAATATGTGGGGTTTTCTCCCTCATACCAACAAATTCTCTGGCACCAGCTGAGTGTCCTACAATTCACTCAATGCTGACACTGTCTATCAGATCCCACAAGCTAAGGGCTCAGTCCCACAAGACTACCCTGACTCCAGATACCTATACTCCTGTCTTCTGTACTTCTGACTGACTGACTATAAATTGAGAGTCCCCACAACTCCCTCCTCAGGTTTGATAATTTGCTAGAACAGTTTATAGAACTCAGGAAAACACTTTACTTACCATTACTGTTTTATTATAAAGGATACAACTCTGCCGGGCGCGGTGGCTTATGGCTGTAATACCAGCACTTTGGGAGGCTGAGGTGGGCAGATCACCTGAGGTCAGGAGTTCAAGACCAGCCTGACCAACATGGTGAAATGCTGTCTCTACTGAAAATACAAAACTTTAGCCGGGCATGGTGGCAGGTGCCTGTAATCCTAGCTACTCAGGAGGCTGAGGCAGGAGAATCGCATGAACCCGGGAGACAGAAGTTGTAGTGAGCCAAGATCACACCATTGCACTCCAGCCTGGGCAACAAAAGCAAAACTCCATCTCAAAAAAAAAAAAAAAAAGGATACAACTAAAGAATAGTCACAAAGAAATGGAAAAAATGCATAGGGCAAGGTGTGTGGGAAGTAATATAGAGCTTCCATTTCCTCTGAGCACATTACTTTCCCAGCACCCATGTGTTCACCAACCTGAAAACTCTCCGAATCTCATCACTTAGAGGATTTTGTGGAGGTTCCATTACATTCACATGATTGGTTAATCATTGGCCATTGGGAATTAACTCAATGTCTAATCCCTCTGTGCTCCCAGAGACTGGGCTGAGGAGGACCCAAGAGTTCGAACTCTCTAATCACATGATTGGTTCCTCTGGCAACCAGCTCTCCATCCTAAAGCTAACTAGAGGTCCACCAAGAGTCACCTGCTTAGTATAAACTCAGGTATGGTTGAGACGGGCTTGTTGTAAATAACAAAAGACTCCTAACATTCCTATCACTCACTGTCAAGGGTTTTAGATGATTTTGTGCCAGCAACTGGGGGCAAAGAACAAATACAATTGTCCCTCGGTACATGTGATGGATTAGTTCCAGGAGCCTCCAATTCATGTACCAAAATCCAAGCATACTCGAGTCCTTCAGTCAGCCCTGCAGAACCCACATATATGAAAAGTCAGCTCTCTGTATATGTGGGTTTCACATCTTGTGAATACTGTATTTTTGATCCATGTTTGGTTGAAAAATATCTGTGTATAGGAGGACCTGTGCAGTTCCAACCTGTATTGTTCAAAAGTCAATTGTTGGCCAGGCACGGTGGCTCATGCCTGTAATCCCAGCACGTTGGGAGGCCAAGGCAGGTGGATCACCTGAAGTCAGGAGTTCGAGACCAGCCTGACCAACATGAAGAAACCCCATCTCTACTAAAACTAAAAAATTAATTGGGCATGGTGGCACATGCCTGTAATCCCAGCTACTCAGGAGGCTGAGGCAGGAGAATCACTTGAACCTGGGAGGCAGAGGTTGCGGTGAGCCAAGGTAGCGCTATTGCACTCCAGTCTGGGCAACAAGAGCGAAACTCCATCTCAAAAAAACAAAACAACAAAAAACAAAACAAAACAAAAAAAACAAAAGTCAATTGTTGGCCGGGCATGGTGGCTCACACCTGGAATCTCAGCACTTTGGGAGGCTGAGGTGGGTGGATCACCTGAGGTCAGGAGTTCAAGACCAGCCTGGCCAACATGGTGAAACTCCGTCTCTACTAAAAAATACCAAAAAGAGCTGGGTGTGGTGGTGCGTGTCTATAATCCCAGCTACCCGGGAGGCTGAGGCAGGAGAATCGCTTGAACCTGGGAGGCAGGAGTTGCAGTGAGCCGAGATTACGCCACTGCACTCCAGCCTGAGTGACAGAGTGAGACTCTATCTCAAAAAAAGGTTAATTATATATATTTCTTGTTATATAAAAATATAATTTCATATACAATTATCACAGATAATTTCTAGTGACTCTCAAAATATTTCCTGACTTCATAACTATATAGTCCATCATTTAACTTTAAAATATTCTAGGAGCCATGAATGAATGTCTTCCCAACTGCTTCATAAAAGCGATATTCCAAAGAGGTTAAGGAAACAGCTCCGCTCTTGAACAAAAGATCATACCTGAATTTGGGAGCTGGTATTAGTTAGGGTAAAAGGCTAAAAGTGGCTTAAAGAACAAAGAAGATTAGTTATCTCTTATAACTGTTTCCAGATAAGAGGTTCAGGTTGCAGACCAACTCCCTTTATGCAATTGTTGGTCTAAGGCATCCTCATCAGTGGCATGGTTAAGGCTGGGTTGCTGGGAGTTCCAGCCAGCAATAATGAGAAGGAAAGTATAGAGGAGGTATGCTCATGCCTATAAGGCCTGGGCCCAGAAGTAACCCACATCATTCTGCTTGCTTCGTTGTTAAAATGTGGTTATATGATGACCTCTAATTGCAAAGGAGTTTGGGAAATTTGACTGTGTGTCCAGGAAAAGAGGGAGAATGGACTTTGGTAAACAACTAGTAGTTTCCACTACAGGTCTAGTGGTTCATTAGTTTGATTGGCAATGACCTTCATATATGGTTCTTGATGTCCTTTTCAGGAGGTGCACTCAGTGTACAGAATTTTGGCTGGAATTTTGAATATTGGGAACATTGAGTTTGCAGCTATTTCCTCTCAACATCAGACTGATAAAAGTGAGGTGCCCAATGCTGAAGCTTTGCAAAATGGTAATTATTTGATATTTGTGGGCTGTGTTGTTGCCAAAGCACATGCTTCTTTAGGCTCTGTAAAATATAATGCAGCATTTGCTAGTCCTTTTTTTTTTTTTTTTTTTTTTGAGATGGAGTCTCGCTCTGTCACCCAGGTTGGAGTGCAGTGGTGCGATCTCCACTCACTGCAACCTCTGCCTCCTGGGTTCAAGCATTTCTTTGCCTCAGCCTCCAGAGCAGCTGGGATTACAGGCACCTGCCACCACGCCTGGCTAATTTTTGTATTTTTAGTAGAGACGGGGTTTCACTATCTTGGCCAGGCTGGTCTTGAACTCCTGACCTCATGATCCACCCCCCCCCCCATCGGCCTCCCAAAGTGTTGGGATTCGCCCAGCCTGCTGCTCCTTCTAAGGGCTCTGGATGTTTTCATGAACTAGTATTTCCCCAAGGATGTCCTGTGGAACACCAGTGTTCCTTCCATAAGCTGCAAGAGTTCTGTAGAAAAGAATTTCATGGCAGGTAATTTTGGGTATTGGTTTTTAACCTTAGTTGTTTTTGAAAAAATCATCGACAAACTGAAAAAAATACAGGAGGTTGGGCCCATTCTGAATCCACTATATCAGCATATACAGGAGAAGAAAGAAGGCACCTGTTTATTTTTAAAGTTCCACAGGTAATTATGGTGGCACAAAGAGTGAGAATCCTCAATTATGAAAAACAAACAAACTGATTTAAATAAAGTAAAAACCTTTTTTGTGTTAAACTGTAGGACATTATAGGGCCTTTAATATAAGAGTATATTTTGTGACTGTCTAAGGGTAAAATACAGTCTGCAGCTATTTCCCCAACTTATTTGGCAAAAGACCACCTCCTCTTCCTTTTTTTTTTCATCAAGCATCTATAAAGTAAGAGCTTTCAGAACAGTTTGGGAGATACTGTGTCAGTCTGGAAACTTCTTGGGGTTAGGGACCTAGCCTGTTTATCTTTGAGTGAAAAGTACCAAAATGGAGTCTGGCACAGAGTGGATGCTGAATAAATGCTGACAGACTGAATGAACGAAGGTCTGGCTACATTCTGTGTTATCCTTACTCTTTGTTTCAGCTGCCTCTGTTCTGTGCATCAGCCCCGAAGAGCTCCAGGAGGCCCTCACCTCCCACTGTGTGGTCACCCGGGGCGAGACCATCATCCGTGCCAATACCGTGGACAGGGCTGCGGATGTTCGAGACGCCATGTCCAAAGCCCTGTATGGGAGGCTATTCAGCTGGATTGTGAATCGCATTAATACACTCCTGCAGCCAGACAAAAACATATGGCAAGTTCCTCGAAGAGCAGAGGGCTCAGGAGAGCTGCCATTGACCCCGCCGTCCCTTAGAGTTTGCAAAAGGAAGCATTCGGTCCTCTCTGGGATTTTCTTTCTTTTTTTTGTGGAGTCAGAGTATCACTCTGTCGCCCAGGCCGGAGTGCAGTGGCAAGATCTCCGCTCGCTGCAACCTCCATCTCCGGGGTTCAAGCGATTCAACTGCCTCCGCCTCTCGAGTAGCTGGGATTACAGGCGCGTGCCACCACGCCCGGCTAATTTAGGCCTTCTCTTTTAGAAGACATAATGAGATCCAGGAGAGTTGAAGCGTTTGTACCCGAGAGGCAAATGACTGAAGGAGCCACTAAAGTGTAGTATTTGAGAGAACAGTCTTGGCTGGGAGCTGGACAAACTGGGTTCGCACCCCAACCCTACAACTTAACCCATTTATGCCTGAGGTGGCAATTTTTTGAATTTTTTCAATCAGACCTTGGCGATGACCTTGAGCAGTAGGATGTGAATAACTCCCATATGCTTGGCATTCCAATAATGGTTTTAATCAGCTTCATGTTCTAAGTCAGTTTTCTCACCTGTAAAATGAGGATAATAATATCCTCTTCATAGTGTTGTTTTTAGAATCAGAGACATTTTATGAAAAATTTTAAAAGCACACTATCTTACGTTATTATTCCTACTTCTTCGACTACTTTTCCTTGCTCTTCCCTAAACATAGTGGTTTTCCATATTGTGGAGGAATTCACCACATCCAATTCTGAAGAGTACTCTTCCCGTTACCTTTGGGGGTAGATAGGTGGGAGAATAAACAAACAACAGCTTCAACCCCTTCAAACAAAAGGACTTTTAAACATCTATTTTATATATGGAGTTCCTGAGTAAGATTCTAAAGGATTCTACTGCTTTAAAAAAAGAAGTTGGAAATACTGTTGAAAGTCCGAAAGAACAAATAGTTTAAGATACAAACTGCTTCTTTTCTTAGGGGTGGCAGGATGCTGCTTTCCATGAGTGGCTGAATTGGGTACTTGAGTTGATAAACACTTGGGCACATATATTCTCATCATCTTGAGTTGGGTGTTTCCTCCTCTAAATAGTTTTGTTCTTCTCTCTCACGCAGTAGTGCAGAAGATGGGATGAATGTGGGGATCCTGGATATCTTTGGATTCGAGAATTTTCAGAGAAATTCATTTGAGCAGCTCTGCATAAACATCGCCAATGAACAAATCCAGTACTATTTCAATCAGCATGTTTTTGCTCTTGAGCAGGTAATAGTGAACTCTGAGGTAACTAAACTTGATAGGGAAAAGGTGTCTCCAAGCTGCCCACAATTTGTAGCAGAAACCCTGTAGACTCTTACAGGCAAAAGACCCTAGAGAGAAAATAGGGTAAGGCAGTCCTGGCTAAATAGTCTAAATTTATCTGAAAAAGGTCTTGATTTCTGTGGAAAGGTATATTTCCTCACTTGAGTGGAACTGGTGACAAGTCGCTCATTTAAACCTTGCATCAAAACTCTTTTGTGCATATTGCTCAAAATGCTGTATCTCTTCTACTTTATTTAACTAAAAATATTTATGGTTGTGTTCAAAATGACACAGATGACCTGGAATTCGGGACATAGGTTCTTGACTGCTACACTAGCCCTCCCTATCCCCTATCTGCTATGTACCAGATCCCTCGGTAACTGGAGAGGTATCTCCAGAGAGGAGTAAGATGTGTTCTTGGTTTTCTAGAAATGGAAATTGTCCCTCTGTGAGTTTAATAATAAATTGTGAAGACAGAGTGAGAAACTAGTGGACCTAAGGGATGGAGATCTTTTCCTGGGGCAGCAGCTTACATAGCAGTCTGCTCAGCCCGGACTTTTACTTAAACCCTAAGACTCTCTTCTGTATGAAGTAGTTGCAATAATGAAACATTCTGGCTAAGCCTCTTGGATGCAGGGATAATTGTTTTAATGCAGGCATGAGGACACACAAACTAAACTGTGTTTAGATACACACAAAGACATTTAGTGAAAATACCAGCATTGCTTTTATCTCTGAAGCTGGATAAATCTGTATAGCACTCCTCTCCCATCCACTCTTGTTTCGGCCCAGGTTCCTTCCACTTATTTCCCTGGCAATCTGGAGTTTTTCTAGTTTTCCAACCCTACATGATTCCTTTATAGAATTCCTTGCAGAAGAGAATTCTGTTTTCTTGGTTTAAACCACATTTCTCACTAAAATAATTTTTTTTTCAGCTTTACTTCCTTGTACATTAGTTTCTAAATGATAAGTTACCAAGTCCACGTTTGGCAGAGAGATTTTACTAGGTTTAGCTGCCTGCCAGAGGCCACTTGTAAGTCAGATTTAAATGCACAGCTTTAATGGTGTTATATGCAGAAGATTCCTTTACTATACGTGTAAAACATATCCTGCTTTCCGCATGCATTCAGTGTTGCTAGACCCAGAAAGTCCATGTCAAAGTATCCTGGTGGTACCAAGGCTGGTTTTGGGCTGGAGAGAATCACAATCCATTTCCCTCCAGATGGAATATCAGAATGAAGGCATTGATGCTATACCTGTGGAATATGAGGACAACCGCCCGCTCTTGGACATGTTCCTCCAGAAACCCCTGGGACTACTTGCACTTTTGGATGAGGAAAGTCGGTTTCCCCAAGCAACTGACCAGACCCTGGTTGGTAGGTACCTTCTGAGAAAAAGGCATATACATTTAGAACAAAACTTGGTTTGTGTCATCAATTGAGTGTACTTTAATGAATTTACCTTACATATTTTGTCTATGTGGTGGGTTGTAAGAATATAGGCCTTCTTTTTCATTGAATTGAAATGTAGTCATAGAATTTGAATCTTAAAGCAAATCCATCATTATTCCTAACCCTTCCCACTTTCCTATTCCTGCCAACATGATTAGCATTACCCCATGTTGATTTCATTTTTACGCCTTCCTCTCTCTTCTTTCTTATAGCCAATGTTTGCTTCCCATCCTTTGTGTGCCCCTCTCTCATGTCTTCCCCTGGACTCCCATCCACTTCTAATCTGATTTCGTGTAGAAGCCCTTTCCAGTCTGCTTGGCTTCCAGGCTCCTACCTTCCCCATCTACCCTGGACATCGCAGCTAGTTTAGTCTTTCTAAAGCCACCTTCTCATTAGGTTGCTGTTATCTTCGGGATGAATACAGGGCACCTCCTTCTGACGTCAAAGGCCCTCTATTCTGTACCCTATTCCTCTTGAATCTTCAGTGTTTTTCACAACCTTTCTTCCTCACTTAGATTGTGAGGTGCTTGGGGCAATGAAGCCTCAGTCTTTACGTGCTTTTAGCGCTTAACAGTTTCTCACACCTAGTAGGCTTTCAACCACAATAGCAAAGATTGTGTGTTAAAGGAGGAATAAAAAGTTTCAAGCCTTTTCCCCAGAGGGAAAATTGATTTGTGAAAGAGATTCACTTTTATGAGTTGAAATTATAACCCTCAGTGGCTTTCTTTTCTATATAACATTGTCACAATTTGCCCAGATGAGTTTAAACCAGGGTCATCTGCCTTCCGTGGGATACCTTTATGGTTCTAAAACTAACTGGCAGGGCCTCTGGTGTCATCAATGTCCATGCTAGGAGTTCTTAGAAATAGCAGGAGAACATACGACCTTAGAGCGTAGGCTGACACTAAAGACAACGCTACACAGCTAAGCAAGGATATGATAAATGCCCATCATATCGGTGATCTTTCTCCACCCTTGTTAATATCAAGGCCTTATTCTGAAAGCCGTTATTCTGAGTCACTCATGGCTCAAGGAACAAGTTTTTGTTTGAAAGAGGGAATAATTCATATTGTAACTCTCCAACATAAAAATCCACACAGATAAATTTGAAGATAATCTACGGTGCAAATACTTCTGGAGGCCCAAAGGAGTGGAGCTGTGCTTTGGCATTCAGCATTATGCTGGAAAGGTGAGGCCAGTGTGACAGTTATTAGAACTGAATTTGACAAAGGGTAAGTGTCTGTATTACCCTGTCTGTGCTGCTCATGAAATTGCTTACAGATTTCTTTCCCCTTTTAATTCTTCCTAAATACCTAATCATAATTCTTAAAGTTTCTCAGTGGTGCCACTCACAGAAAGTTGCCTCTGGCATAGAAGCAATTTCTTACTGGGGTGGCCCACAGAGTTGCCATCTGCTTCTCACCTGAGGTTTGGCCTAGAACTGACAGCTCTCCAGAGAGAAAACATATTACAGCTTTTTGCGGTGTTTAGTGGTAAATGTTCACATTCTAAAGTCATTTGGAGACATGTAGGTAATGGAGGAAGGTTAATATCACAGTGCGACTCAATTTTTAGTACTTTAATCATATGTCTAAGGGCCCCAAAATGTCCAGATGAAAAGAAAAAAATCCACATTATTATCCAGATGTTAAGCTTTTACAACTTAACTGAAATTTCTACTTTTCATACATTATGCCTCAGTCGGAATTTCAAGTTCCTGAAGCAGATTAGTGACTGATTCAGGAAATTCCCTATCTTATAACCACAAGCTCCTTGCTTATGTTACTCCCAAAGGAGCCATTTGAATTATGGCTGATTCGTTCCTCTGGGGTCTGATGAGCTGTAGGTCCAGAAAATTGGAAGGAGTTCAATAAAAGGCATTTTTGATTATTTGATTGATTTAAGATGTATTGAAATTGTCTTTCATATTCACATCAGGCCGTTGTAACTGATTTTCCTGACTGGATGTTGGGAAATTCTAGTACAAGGGAAGGGGATTGTTTTTCTCTCCAAATAGTACTTTATGGTGTCTATTTTGGATCTTTGTTAGAAATTGCAATTCCATTTTTTACCTACCTCAGCATATTAGTGTCCTCTTCAGAGTCTGAAATACCGGCATCTACCCTGATTCCCCTCCCCATTCCTCTTTTCTGCCTCCCATTCCTGTCCTCCTCTTCTCACCTCTGTCTGTCCTTTTATACCTATGTCCTACCCACCCCTCTTCTTGACTCTTTCTTATTCTTTTCCTTTCTTGATTTTAGGGAAAAAAACTTTTTTTTTTTTTCCTGGTCTCTGTCCTTTGCTGCATCCATTTGCCATTCAAAGCTTATTTGTAGAGAAGGAATTCTCTGAGGGTGTTCCTTACAATTTATATGAACTAGATCCCCTCTGTTCTGAGAACCAAGAACTACTCAGCATCCTTGAGTGATCACTCAGATCGCATGAGGACCTAGGGAGACAGTGAGAGTACTTAGAGCAGTTGTGAGCATAGAGGCAGACTGCCTGAGTTTGATACCTACCTACCACCTGTGAAATGTGTGACCAGGAGCACACTCCTCAGCCTCTTCCTAAGTCTCTGCCTGTCTTCCAGTAAAATGGAGATCATAACAGTGTTTAGCTCATAAGATGGATGCTTTGCACATGGTATCTAATATATTTTAATAATTATTCTGATGTGATTTATCTTCAAAAAGCAACTAGACAGGCCAGTGCGGTGGCTCACGCCTGTAATCCCAGCACTTTAGGAGGCCGAGGCAGGTGGGTCATGAGGTCAGGAGGTCAAGACCATCCTGGCTAGGACAGTGAAACCCCATCTCTGCTAAAAATACAAAAAATTAGCTGGGCATGATGGCACATACCTGTGGTCCCAGCTACTCAGGAGGCTGAGGCAGGAGAATGGCGTGAACCCGGGAGGCAGAGGTTGAAGTAAGCCGAGATCATGCCACTGCACTCCAGCCTGGGCAACAGAGTGAGACTCCGTCTCAAAAAAAAAAAAAAAAAAAAAAAAAAAAATCCTAATTTTTCCCTTTATCTGGTGCTGTGCATATAAAAGCGTGGCTATGTCAAGATTAGTTCTATATAGAGGTCAGTTAATGACTGGCTAGACAATTTGCCAGAGTCACCAATGATGGACAGCTGACTTGGCTAATTTGCCATTTGCTATTCATGTTACAGGTATTATATGATGCTTCTGGGGTTCTTGAGAAGAATAGAGACACTCTCCCTGCTGATGTGGTTGTGGTCCTGAGAACGTCAGAAAACAAGCTTCTTCAGCAGCTCTTCTCAATCCCTCTGACCAAAACAGGTACCTGGGAACCCTCTGATAGCCCTTGTCCTAAAGCTTTTGCAAGACCAGGTGGAATTTTTCAGTTAGTGTCTGAATACTGCCAGGGCTGCACCACTAACATTGAACTTCTTTAAGCAGAAGTAAAGGTCTAAATTCAAGAAAAGGAAAGTGATTGTTTCTTTTGTGATTTAATTATGCAGCATCAGTGTGTACACAGACATGTGTGCATGTACACATCAACATACATACACTATCCATAACATGAACTCTTAGACTTTCTCGTCCTTCTTTTCATTCTTCCCTTTATAAAGCCATATGATATCATTAATTCATGCTAGGATAGTCTCAGTTTACCAAGACTTATCAGGAAGATTATTTCTATTTGTGTGTGATTCCAAGTGAAAGGAGTGTGCCGAATCAGAGGTCAGGGGATCCTCAAAGTTCGCCTTGGTCCAATTTCTACCCAGTTATGACCCCACTCTACCTCTCTCCTAACCAACTTGGAACGGGTCCTTCACTGGCCTATGTATGTGGCCTTCGCCTACTTACCGTTACCTTCTCTTTAGCTGCTGTCAGTCCTCATGCCAAAAAAGCAGGAAACTAGGGCCAAAGAACAGAACTTCCAGGTCTTAACTCTTTTTCCAAATGGATTCTAATGGAGTCAGCCTTTTAGAATGTACCTGGGATTCTGCTGCTTTTAGCTGGGTGGCCAACTCAGCCTTCTCACAGCTCTACTCTCAAGGGCTTTGTGTTTTTTAGGCTAGGTCTGGAAATAGCAGTGGGCATGCTTTTAAGAAAAAAATGAAGAGAAACCTCTTTATCACTGTTCATTGTTCACTATTTCCTCTTCTTTTCTTCCCACATCCCTCTTAACTGGTTGCCAGATCTGATTTTTAGCAACTTGCAGAGGAATGAAAAGCCTGGCTAAGAAAAAAAAAAAAAAGCCACAGTCTACAGCCTTTGCTTCATCTTAACTTGGAAGGAAAATTGAAATCCGGCTGTTTCTTCAGACATGCTCCTGTAAACAGAACTAGTAGCAGTGCCCATCAGAAGCCTGCCCTCCAGCTTCCATTCCATGCCTTCCTTAGGGCAGCCAGGATTTAATTCAGTATGGACTCCCGGGAGCTCGGGGCAGGTGTGGAAAGGGCTGGCTGGTGTTTCCTTACCAGAGACCCAGGGATGTAGATTCCTCATCAGGCGACTTCAGCACAGAGGTGAAGAGACAACCGTTATTGATAGAGGACATGCTATCTGGGAGAAAAATCTATCCAAATAACTCTTCAGCTGGCATTTACATCCTCCCACAAATATTAATAACGGCTTGTCAAATCTGTTCACAACTTTGGAATTTCCGATTTTTCAACCTTTGGCAAAATAAAAACCATTTAACAGCTTGGACCACTAGGTGGCGCTATGCAGAAAGTAAAGCCCTGCAGCGAGTCTCTTCTCCCTTGATTCACCCAACGGTGGGAGGAACAGGAACAAAGAGATAACCTCCGCTGCTGCTGCTGTTTCACTCCCTCCCGAAGAGCTTTCCTCTTGTCTTGTAACTGTTAATGAATCTTGTTTTGAAACTACACTCCACACCACTTGATAGAAACACAAGTGAAGAATAAGACTAGAAACAAACGTGATATCCCAATAGGCTTCCCAGTATTCCTGAGCTTTATATATGCATAGTAATTTCCTTTGAGATCCTAAGCTTGAGTATAGCTTAGGATTCTCCGCATTTTGAGTATAACTAAGAAGCCACAAACATCAACACTTACAAGCATGATTCTGTTGTCTTTTGCCGGAATTATTTATGTAGGAATGAATTCAATCAACAAACGTTTATAGAACAGCTTCTAGTAATAAGGTACTTTTTAGGCAGTGAGGGAAACACAGCAGTAAAGGGAATATGGCTTTGCCATACACCAACTAGAATTTTGTTTTACCTTCATTTTCTATATAGAATTTTCTGTACAGAATTGGGCGCTAATTTATCTCTTTATGACAATAGTTGCCCTCAAACCTCAATTCTAACATGATTGTGCATCCTGTGTTGAATGTCAGAATATTACTTTTCTAAATTTTAAAACACTCATAATCTATATTTTTGGGCGCTATTATGTTACAGCCTTTGAAGATGGGAAACCTCACAGGACAGAAATAAGTTATGCTGTTCATTGCCAATGCTTGTTTCAGGCATGTCCCTCTCGTGAAGGGGAAAGTGCCTACACATCTTGACATTCCCACTAGAAGCAAGATCCCACACCATCCTGGCACTTTGGAAAAGAATATACTAATATTTTCAATACATAAGAAAGCATTTTCTTGTCATTTTTATTTTTCCTTGCTTCAATTGTTTTATCAAAATTAAATGGAGCACTAGTTCAGAAACATAGATATTATGGGCAATTACTTCACAAACCCCTTTGAGGAATGAACTACAGGGAGGAAGGAAAAAGATCAAAGTTGAGGCCAGACACGGTGGCTCACGCCTGTAATCCCAGTACTTTGGGAGGCTGAGGCAGGTGGATCACAAAGTCAGGAGTTCAAGACCAGCCTGGCCAACATAGTGAAACCCCATCTCTACTAAAAATACAAAAAATTAGCTGGGTGTGGTGGTGGGCACCTGTAATCCCAGCTACTAGGGAGGCTGAGGCAGGAGAATTGCTTGAACCTGGGAGGCAGAGGTTGTGGTGAGCTGAGATCATGCCATTGCACTCCAGCCTGGGCAATGGTACAAGACTCTATCTCAAAAAAAAAAAAAAAAAAGATCAAAGTTGGGAAGCCTTGGAGGCAATTAGCCCAAAATGTAAAAGGAGGTCCAGTGCTGGACTCCTCAATTTTGAAAGAGGAAAGGACGTTTGTTAGAAAGACTCCTAAGAGATGTGGGCAGTGGTCTGGCTCCTGATCTTAATGGTAGTTACATTATATTTATTGTGTGGATGCTTGCATTATATTTATTATGCTGTACATTTATGTTTTTCATACTTTGTGTGCATTCTGTGTCACAGTAATGTTGGGGTTTTTTTTTCTCCAAAAGATAGAGAAGACCCCTTAAAATGCAAATAAAAAAAAAAAGCTTGACGTAGTAGCACATGGCTAGAGTCCCAGCTACTCAGGATGCTGAGGCAGGAGGATCACTTGAGCCCAGGAGTGCAAGGCCGGTCTGGGCAACACAGCGACACCCCCATCTCTGAAAAAAAATTAAAATTGTTTAAATGCAAAGAAAAACTTTAATTTCTTTATCAAAGGATTCCTGACAGTTAAGTTGAGGTTTTCTGGTAGCTAGATTGCCACTGTCCTTTGCTTTCAAAAGAGCCCCAGGATCACTTTCCTATTCCTTCAAGTTGCCTCCTCTCTGGGCTGCTGGGCAGGTAACAGTCCTTCATTAGTATATATCAAAAACAGTATAGTCACACATAGCTTCATGATGGGGATGCATTCTGAGAAATGCATTGTTAGTTGATTTCATCGTTGTACAACCATAGAGTTCTTACACAAACCTAAATGATACAGCCTATGATACACCTAGGCTATATGTTGTAGTCTACTGTTTTGGGACTGTAAACGTGTACAGTATGTTACTGTACTGAATGTTGTAGTTAATTGGAAGACAATGCCAAGTATTTGTGTATCTAAACGTATCTAAACATAGAAAAAGTACAGCACAACTATGGTATAATAATGTTATGGGACCACCAGTTTATATGCAGTCCATTATTGACCAAAATGTACATGGCACATGACACTACTGGGGCTTGATTTAATTTCTTATCAAGGTTGAGAGGATCAACCTATGTGTTTATATGTGCAATCGTAATATAAAATCATAGATAGTAATCCAGTTGGCATTTTCTTGTTTCCAGCTCCCATTTTCCAGAGTTCTGAAGAGATTAAAAACCATGAGGAGTAGAATAATGAGGCCCAAGGTCACCAGGAGACAGGGCTTCTCCCAGGTTTCTGCAGCCCCCTTCTGCTGACACCCGGTTGCATCTGGTTGTGGAGGTGCCTGTGCCTGAGAGGCACATTCTCACTGCAAGGTTCTTAGTGACTTTCTGGTAAAGGGAGGCAGCCACAGTCAATATGAATTTTCTCTGTTCTCTTCTCATGCTTCTGCAACCAGTCTTCTGCCTGCAGATGGGCCACTTCAGACATGATGACATGTTCTTTGTAATACTTCCTATTGATAGGAAATCCTCTGAAGATTTTAGGTGTGAAAATTTGAAGTAGCAGCAACACTGCTTTCTAACCCTTCAGCTGGGACTTTTCAAACTGAATAATCTAAAGAGAAAAACATTAAAAGGAAGGATGTTATAACAGGGTTTCAAGACATATTTTCCTGTTTGGGGAATGTTCCACTTGCTACTAGTAAACTGAGAGAAAAGCTTAAAAGGCTCAGGGGAAGAAAGAAAGAGGATTTCAAAAAGAACTTGAAAATTCATTTTTGTCTTTGAATCATGAATTCTGACTTCCAAATAGTAGTTTGGGGTGTTAAAGAAGTTGTGAACTTGGGAGAAACTAGGAGAAATAAGAATAGCACCAGAGGGAACATTCTCTGAACCTCAAAGTTTGATTTTTGCTTCAGAACTAGAACTGAGTTTTACACTCATTGCCTTCTTCTGTCTGAAAACTCAGGTCTCTTCCGTGGAATTTGATTTGCAGTGAAAATCAACAATAAAGTATCTCTTTATTGACTTCTATTTGCTCCTCTTTTTCTGGATGGGGGGGACAAGATGAGCCCCCACACTGTCATACCTATAAAGCACTATAGCACCTTCACTGCTGAAATCCTTGCTGTCAATTTTCTGAGTCCTGATTCTGTAATGCCCAAAATGAATTAAGCTCTTAAGAGAGCGCCTTTTGGTATCCATCTCTCAGTTTCCATTCTCCACTTATGGCTGTTGCTCTATCCTGACAGTTTAGCAAAAGGGTCTGGCAGATGAGCTGAATCTAAGTGATGAAATTTCAAGGCCACAGACATGGATAGTGCTGGCTTTTCCTGAAATGGAGGCTCTGGTGAGCCAGCT